ACTGTAGGTAAATGTATCTGGGTTTAAGTATGTTCTTCTCTTCCTCCTCCTTCCTTTTTTTCTTTGTTCCTGCAATTTGTAGACATGATTGGAAGAGATGAAATTGGGGAAAGAGGCCATACGTGGCTGAGCAATAAGACAGAAGATGTCTATTTTGGTCTAGGATGCTTCTGGTACGCGTGGGGGTGGACTTGCTAGGACCAATTATTGCCAGATTTCCACTTGAAAAAGAAATGAATTTCTGTCTTGTTTAGTTCACTGTGTTTTTGTTTCTGTTGCTTACATCCAAAATAAATAATACTTAATAAAATGTTTGTATCATTGACTTTTTTTTTTTTTTACTTTCACCTACTTTCCCGCTCACTGACTGAATAATTACTAATTCAATCAGAGGGCTTTTATTCAATACAGGGAGGGGTAGGGAGACAAATTACTGTGAATATATATACGTTACATAGTCTCCTGTATGTAACAATTATGACTGAGATGCACAACATTATATAAAATCTTTACTCATAACTTTGCTTTTTTCTGTAGAAGAGAAATCTGTAAGTAAAAACACCAGATTAATGGTACAGATAGCCTAAGAGGCAGTTGATACATATTATGCATTTTCCTTCCAGATTAATTTTGTCAGCACACATCATTAAGGTAGGGATATGCCTGTCTCCATACTTCTGTTAGAGTTTTGTAGTATGGCACCATTGCCATTTAAGATATTTTCATAAGAAAAAATGTGAAATATGATGGGTTATTTAATTATAAAATTATATTTTTGTGTATTGGGTTTCTATAAGCAGAACATGGTTTCTTACTGGCTATTTATACCTATTCTATGTAAAAAGTGTTCATGTTCTCTTCCAAACTTTCATGCTGTTGGCATCTTAGTATATTCCTTACTGATTTGAAAAAGGTCCTTTGGTCAGGTAATTTTAAGTTATGAAAATATTTTAATTTCACTTACCCTGTTTGACTAGATAGTCAGATTTTTTTCATTTGGGGTTCTTTTCCATTTGGTAAAATATTATTTTTTTTTCCATTTTAATTACACTGAAGCCAACAGTAAAATCTTTTTTCCTAATCTAGTATATACAGAACTATTTTGAATAATAGTATCTAAGTTTAAACATCATCTGTGCTTCTGTCTTGCCTCTTAAAAGAAGGTGTTAAATATAAATGTGTAGCCAAAAGGGCACAGGATTTATTTTATTTTTGTGGAAGTTTCACCTTAGAAAACTATTGGCAAGAGTCATGGATTTCCTGGCAATAGAGTGGGATGCTTTATATCCTAAATCAAATATAGAGGACTATGCCCATCAGATTAAGCATGCTTTGGAAGCATGAAGTTCAAGCTTTAAACATAGGTAGCTGCTGTGAAAAATTGCTACCTTGACATCTGATTAAATGGTATAAGCAACCTATTCTCTTCTTGTCATTGATTTTATTTAATGGTCAGTTATTTTTACTTACTTCTTCCCCCTACCTTTGCTTTTTCTTTTCATTATTATGGTTTTTGTAATTTTCCTTTTTTGTGTGAACAAGTCCTCTTTGGTGAACATTTTCAGTTATTCATATAACTGACTACCCCTAATTTTCAGTTAATATGTTTCATATTTGATAAATATATTACCTCTGTTTTTAAATATCATTCTTCCACAACCTTCTAGACAACTCAAACTGTGGGAAGGCTGGGTCTAAAAACTCATCCATAGCCAATAGTAATTTGTGTTTCTGAAGCTACCAATAACAATATTTACTTTCTATAGAGCATTTTTCATTCCATGCATTTAAAAAATATTTTATTACTTTTCTAAATATGAGTATAAACATTTGGGAGATGGATTGAGTAATTTCCATTGTGCCTCTTTTACAAATAAGAGCCTCTTGTCACAATTTGCCAGAGTCTATTCTCTCTAAAACTATTTGCTTAAGTTACAAGTGAGTCCAGATGTCAGTTTATATTTTCCTTAAGTACCCATGGGAATTCATGGATGTCCTGTTATTAGGCAAATTCAAGAATCTAAACTTGAGCCTTTGAATATCTAGTTGGTCAGAATTCAGCAATATCTTTGAATCTCTTTCCCACTTGCCATTTTTTAAAAAAAGAATTACATGTTCAAAGTACTAGGGATGCAGTAATCTTTCCTTTTGCAGAAAATTAAAACTTGGAATTTGCATTCAAATTTTCTGATAATCTCAGAAGACATATGGACAAGCAACCAATTATTTAAAAGAATAAGAGAGACACTAAGGGTAGTGACTCACACCTGTAATCCCACCAATTCTGGAGGCTAAGGCAGGAGGATTGTGGGTTTGAGGCCAGTGTCAGCAATTTAGAAAGACCCTGTCTCAAAATAAAAATAAATGAAAGGATTGAGGATATAACTCAGTGGTAAAAGTAACCTGAGTTCAATCCCCAGTACCTAAACAAATAATTAAAAAGGACAAGAAAAAGGCAGAATGAAATAGGTGGTATTGTAGTGATACTATGAAGGTGCTATGAGAGTTATTTAGATTTACATACTATGACAAAATATCTGAAAAAGTCAACTAAAAAGGAAGGCAGGCTCAATTTGTCTCAAAATTTCAGAGGTTTCAGTCTATGATTGGTTAGTTGGTTGATCATGGTGTGGATGGGACAAAGCTGCTTATCTCATGATGGTCAGAAAGCAAAGAGAGAGAAAAGGGCCAGATTCCCAATATCCCCTTCAAGAGTATCTTGCTCAATGACCTAACAGCCTTGCATTGGGCACAACCTTTTAAATTTTCCACCACCTCCTGATACTGCACTGGCTGGGAACCAAATCTTTAGCACACAGCACTCTGGGGGACATTTAAGATTTGAACTCTCAAAGGCAGTATACTGGAAGGGCTGATTTTTAAAAAATTAGAGTTAATGATTAAAAGTTTCTTGAAGAACTTGGCACCAGAGTTGTTTGAGCTTTGAAGAATGATTGAGATTTTTGATAGTTACCCATGTTGGGTATGGTCTATTAATTATGATGAGGTTTTAGGTTCTTCAGATATTCTGGGGTTGATGCTACCTCCTTAAGAACTCCCAGTGGGCATAAGATCTTTCTGACTGTAAACAACAAATACAATTTGGAGAATCTGACCATGGCTGTTAATATGCTTATAGGACACATATAATAAATCTGTACAACTTGAGTATATAGATACAGAAAAATAACACTTAGCCATTTGAAATTAAAAACATTTAGAGCAGAAAAAGACTTTTTAGAAATGATATACTTAACCCTTTCATTTACGAAGACCTCACCAAGAGGATCAGTCATCAACCAAGGTCACTTAGGTAACTTGAGCAAACTTTCCCTCTATCAGAAGGCATGGCTTTGAAATCTGCACTTTTCTATATCCACCAGTTAATTTATATAGATATTCTGAAATAAAATCATCGAATCCTCACACCCACTTATCAGACAAATATACTTTAAACTCTGCAATGAACTTGCATGCATGAGCTAAGTTGAAGGAACATAAAATGGACCAAAGGCAGGAAATGCTTTAGGACTCGGTACCCGCATAATGAAAATACGGAATAATCTGCACTGGAAAAAAGACACTGGTAGGACTCTACCTGATATTGTTAATTCACCTACAAAGGAGTGAGAAGAGTAAAGGAGGGAGAGAGGAAAGAAAGGGAGGTAGGGGGGAGAGGGAGAGAAAGAGCTGGGGGGAGAGAAGGAGGGAGAGAGAGGGAAAGAAGGAGGGAGAGAGAGAGAGAGGGAGGGAGAGAGAGAGAGAGAGAGAGAGAGAGAGAGAGAGAGAGAGAGAGAGAGAGAGAGAGACAGCTCGAGCGAGCCTCCCAGCCCTGAGAGAGGTACTCTTTGTCTGACAAACCCTGAAAAAGAAGCCTCTGGTAGCAGCCCTCTCCTTCCCACCTCCAAGCTTCTGCCGAGCTGCTAGGTGGAGCCCGCAGGCACTCCAGATCCGGGTTTTGTCGGCCACCCCCTTCCCCCGGCTCGAGCCCCCCTCCGGGGTTCTGGGAGCTCTCGCCGCTCGCTTGCTCGCTCGCCCGCCTGCGGGTGGCTCATTCTGGCCTCGGCTCGGGCCCCGGCTGTTTTCGCCGCGCGCTAGCTGCACGGCTCCGGCGCTACCCGTTCTCCGACCGGCTTTCCGCACGTCGCCGCTTCGCCTGCCCGCCCAGCCCCTCTTGCTCCAGTTCCCAGGAGCGGGGATGCAGATGCTGCGGCTGGTCCGGGTGGGCGCCTGCACTGCCGCCGCCGCTGTAGGCATTTCCCGGGCTGCTTGTTGCCTCGGCTCCCGCAGCTGCTGCCGCTGCCGCCGCCAGTGACTCGCCCCCTCCCCTTTCTTTCTTCTCTTTTCGCCTCTGTCCTCTTTCTTCGGGTGTGCGCGCGCGCGGGTTGCACGGTTTGCTTTGGCAGAAGCTCGCTCGTGTGTGCGCGTGTGTGAGTGTGCTTGTCTGGAAAGCGCCAGAGCCTCGTTCGCTTTTGGGAGTCGAAGAAGAAAAAGAATCAAAGCAGCGGCGGCGGCGGCGGCGCGGAGCCCGGGCCGCGCGATGAAGCTCCCACATGCCCGCAGCTGCCTGGCCCGACCGGCGAGCTAATCAGTCACCTCCCGGGCTCGGGGCTCGCCAGCCCCCGGGACGCAGCCCTAGGCGGCAGGGCACACGCTCTGCCCGCGCGTCCCCGCCGTGCACCAGAGAAGGAGTTTGCGTGGCTCTCGCTCCGGTTCTCCGCACAGGTTGCGGGCGCGAGATCGGACCCTCGGCTGGGAGAGAACCTTGGGGGGAGGAGGAAGAAGAAGAAGAGGAGGGTTTGGCGGAGAAGCCACCCCTGGCCCTAGCGGCTCTCCCTACCTATTCCATCACTCCCGCTCCGAGGCGGAGAGGGGAGGACGAGGAAGAAGAAGAAAAAGAAAGAGAAGGGGGGTGGGGTGGGAGAACTGGATATAAAGATCGGCTGGGGGGATGGTGGAAGATTTTTGGTCTCCTCAGCAGCGTCTTTTCTTAAGCGGCGGCGGCGGTGGTGGCGGCGGCGGCGGCAGCAGCAGCAGCAGCAGCAAGAAGAGAAGCAGCTCCAGCTATGACTGCCGCATGTTAATAGCTACCACTTGGGTTCCTGGGCTGCCGCTGGAGACTGAGCCTGACTCCGAAGTTGTGCAACTGTGAACTGGGAGAGACATTTGAACCCTCCTTTCTCTTTGCTCCGCTTTTGCCCCCTTGGGGTGTGTGAAGAGAGGAAACGTAAAGGACGACAAGCATTTGGCTTTCCCTCTTCTCTTTCTCCACGGCTGTGTTGCAGAAGAAAGGGAAGAGAGACTTTTGTTGTTGTTTTCTTGACTGGGGTCTCCACCCTCCTGCTGCCTTCTCTGGCTTTATCATTTTTTTTTGGCCGCGTGTGGTGGGGGTGTCTTTGCTGGGGCCAGTCCATCTTTTGCCCCGGGCTCTATGGCTGGATTGTGGAAACTGCACCCCGCTGCAGGTTGTTGAGCAACTGATGGGACGATCTCAGGGACCGGCGGTTGCAGAAGGTAATTTATTCTTCTCACTCTTCATCATAGTGGTCGTCCTGGTCTGGCCCAGGCGGTGGCATCCGCCGGGCGGGCAACTGAGGGGGTGCGGGGTTCACGCACACTCACCCTTCCACTCACACACTCGCCGTCACACACTCGCCCTCTCACACACTCATCCGATCGTGATGCGGGGCGGGAAGGGAGCCTCCTGGCTGGTGGGCGCTCAGGTCTGGCACGGGTTCGAGGTTTTATCAGCCATTGGGCGATTTGGCGGTTGAGCAGGATGAACGCGAGAGGAGACCGGGCGCATTCGCTGTCGCACTTGCTGGGGAATAGAAAAGGTTTCCACCCCGGGAATTTTCCCTCTCCTCTCACCCCAGTGCCTTCCCCTGGTAGGGGCTGAAAGCAACCGAGGGGGCGCCTTTTCTCCACTGGACTGGAGCTCTTGCCACTCGAAGCAGGAGCATGCTGGAGGACGGACAGGGACCTGGTGAGAGGCTGGGCTCTGAGGTGATGGAGAATGCGGGGTGGTGAGCCTTGCGCGGTCTTCTCTTGACGCCTGTCTTGGAGCATCCAAGGTGGCCTCGCTTGCCCAGGTCGCGCCCCTGAGTTGTGGAGCCGCTCTGCCTATCCGCACCCCGCCTGTTGTGTCCCCTTCACGGCAGTTTGGTTTAGACTTGCGTGCCCAGGCTTTGTTAGGGGATTGTGGCTGGAGAAAGCTGTCACTTTTACGGATGGCCGGGGACTGAGGTGTGCTGCTAGTAGGCACTAGGCAGGGGGTGGTGTTAAATGAATCAGGGTGGGCTCGGCTCGGGGGTAGGGTGAGTAGAACACTGGTGGACGCGGGTTACAGGTAGGAGGGCAGGCACCCTGGAGCTTCTCTCTCCGGAGAGAGGAAGTCTGGGCTGTAGCTGAGCTTTGATGCCGCCGAGACCCAGCCTGTGGTCCCACTTCGGAGCTTGCAGACTGAATGTTCCAGCGTCCCAACAATTTTAGGTGTGTACGTTTGAAGGAGTGGGGAACGACCTCCTCTACCAGGGTTAGTTGGCAGTGGGGTCCGCGTGTGCCTGTCTGGGTGTGCGCGTTCCTGCTCCTGGAGGATGTCAGGGAGATGTGTACTGGGATGTGCTGATGCTACTTGAGAAGAGCTTGCTTATCAAAATCGCCTGGCATCCGCTTAACTGGAAAATCTGGTTTGGGGAGGCCAAGGGGGCCCTGTAGGATTGTGAGGAAGCCTCACACTGTGTTCGCTCTTCCCCGGAGAGGCGCAGTTCAGCGAGATGCGTGGGACGCGTGAGAGTCGCTGGTGCAGCGCTCGACGCACCCTAGATTGGCCCTGGTGAGGACCTCATAGAGTAGTCATCTTTCTAACAGATTGAAGTAATCAAGTCAAACCAGCATAACCTCTGGTCCTTAGAATTCTCTGGCTACTTTCCTAGCACCAATAGAAACATGCGCTGCCTTTATTTATGGCTAGCGATGTAGCAGTTGGGTGAACTCGGGCATACGAACCACCTCCAGGGTGTCTCCTCCCTGTGTTCCATGTGATCCTTGCCTGCAGTAGTTAGAGAACATTGTAAACAACAGTGTAAGCATCCACAGTCTCCTTTAGAGCTGAACCTATTGGTGTCTGTTTTGTTTACTTTCCTGGGTGGATTACTCATTAGGAAGTATAAGCCTTTTTGCACGTCTGATTTTACATCCTTTCAGCCAGCTGCTGGGGAAATGAGACGCATACACTCTGGCAGGAGGAAAAACTATCTTCTGTGTTTGCTCCGAAGTAAATAGGCGGTCTGCTAATTTTAGTGTCACATGGGCTACCATCCTAGTTAAAGAATGTCATCGTAGAATTTGCAAAAAAACACTTCAGTGATTTTTCATTTGGAGATCGTCCTGTATCTCCCTGTGAGATACCAGAGCTTAGATTTCCCTAATATATTTTTCAGTCTGTAATGGTACCAAATTCTTTGGAGTTCTGGCACCCAATTTATCTGTGTGTGGATTGCTAATAAAATTGCCAGTTCTTTTTTAGTATCACCAAAAGAGGATATCAGATAATTTGTGTAGGAGTTAGGAGGATATTTGTGTTCTGTCAGCTTTGTTTCATCCAATCTTTCTTTCTCCTCTTCCTTTTTTCTTTTTTTTTCTTTTGTAACTAAAGAAAGGGTAAAGAATGTACAAGGTAAACAATTTGTCAATAGTTGCTTTTGCAATGATAACTACTTTTAAATTTCAGTACTTAAATGGCATTAAATTCCTTACTTCTGTATTAGCTCTGACTGCTTTGGTGTTTGTTGCAAATGGCTGTGTCCTATTTGGTTTTAAAAGTACAGCACTGTATAATGGGTACTTTGATTTTAGGTACACTAATTTTTTGATTTTTTTTTAAAGATCTTGACTTCTTGAAAAAATTTAGGTTGCCAAAGAAAAATACTGAATCATCAATACCTGATCTTGATTAAGTTGTATTTTTATAAGTGATATTGCTCGTGGTCATCACCCTAATAGAAAATTTAGAGAGTTATGTTTTAACCCATAAGAATCTAGTATCATATATGTGTTTCATTTCTAGGGGGTATGTGTTACAGTTTTTATACTTGTAAATATTTCTAAGGATTTAAAGAATACTTTTTTCCTCCCATTTTGGAAGATCTCATCACAATGATTCTCAGTCCTTCCATTAGAAGATTTGATCAGATCTGTTCTTTGTTTCCTAGCAGCATGTGTTTCCTAGCAGTCATACATTCCACAGGTCCTGATGTCATTAGAACAGTGTCTGTCAGTTTATTGTGCTGTCTTTAGCTGAAGGTGAATGTGTCAGTGTTTGAATGCCATTCCATAACACTTCTAAGTATTCAGTAACCTGCTGCACTGGAGTACATGGTTGACTGAACTATTTCTAAAACTGGGTAGGAGAAATGATTAGTACAACGGTTTATGTGAACTACTTAATTTTTCTTAGGTAGATATGTTAGGCTGCATCAGGCATCCCTAGCCAGAAGAGTGATAAGCCAGCATGTGATTTGTCTGATACTTTTGATGTCTCAGTTTAGGTTGCTTGGTGAGATTATCCTTCAGATTCAGGACCAGCTCAAAAATATGAATGAAACATTTTTCAGAAATGATTTTCTTTATAATGTTCTTCTTATGTTTTACAGACTTAAATATTTCTTTCCACAGGGAAAAATAACAAGTATGGGACTTACTGGCTCCAGCTGCTGTGCCTGCTATTGTTTCTAGTGATTAGGATAGGCAATTTTTTCCTGTGGACTTGATTTACCTTTGATTCCTTTTTGTAAGTTGTAGCCAAGGAAATCATAAATAGTAGATTTAAAAAAGATTAGAAAATCACAAGATTGAAGTTAATTAAATAATATAACACATAATTGCATTGTTTTTTAGAATTTGATTTGGACCATTTTAGCTGTGTTTGAACTCTCTTTGAAAAGGGCTGCCAAGTAGAAGTGATGGTTACTGTTAAAAGTGGGCATTGTGGAACAGAAATTAGCAAAAAACTGATTGAGATTTTTTTGTATTAAGATCAAACACTGATTCTGAGAAATGCTGTGCTACTTTAATTTGGTATGGTGTGAACTGCGAGAGCAGTCAGAATTTAAAGAGAGAAGATCCTGATACTTCCTTAACTTTTGCAAGTGGCTGTTTTGCCTTAAATTATCTTAGATTTGCATTGTATTCAAAATATACATTTGGTCATTTATGGAGGGCCCCTAAAGACTGAGATTATATTGTAACTCAGCATTTGTTTGCCCTCAAGTGTATGTGTATACCTAAACTACTGTTGCATTTTTGTATGTTTCTTTCATGTATATGTTTCTTTAAAATTACCCTATTTTGCAATAAAATAAAAAATAGAATAGTTGAATGTGTGTAGAGGCTTCCTAATGTTTCCTTTGTTATCTCTCTGACTTCATTGTGTGTGTGTGTGGGGGGGGGTAGGGAGTTGTTGATCAATGCAGAGAAAAATCCAGATTCTTCATTCATTTTAATTTTGATATTGACGTTAGTTGACATTTGAGAAAGTAGTGTGATCATGCCCCTGGAAGGCATTTATGATTTCTGGTATGTGCAGGTTTTCCCCAAAAAACATTTAATGTATTACCCTGGTCTGAATATGAATAAAATTAACTCTATGGATACATGAGTAACCAGGTATATGTTTTTTCCTTTTGGAATTGTGAATGTGCTCATTGGTTTACAAACATAAAAAAGAAAAAAGAAAACTAGGGCTCAGTGGTAGAGCACTTGCCTAGCAAGTATGAGGCACAAAGTTCGATCCTTAGCACCACCTAAAAATCAATAAAATAAAGGCGTTCTGACCATCTACAACTACAAAATAAAAAAGAAAAAAGAAAAAGAAAAGAAAGCTAATTGTCTTATTATGAAGTAATTAAATTCTCCATTTATTTTGGGGTGGGTGGGTGAAAGGGTTGAGTTCTTTTCCTACAGAATCTGTGTAACAGAATCTAATATACACACACACACACACACACTCACTCACTCACTCTTGTTTGAAGAGTGTGGGTTGGTTTTTATAGTGCCAGGTATTGAACCAGTTGCCTTTGGCATGCTAGCAAGCTCTCTACCACTGAGCCATACCCTTGGCCCCAGGATCTATAAATCTGATTAAAACATGCCTTGCCTATGTCTTATGGACACTTTAAAACCTGCATTTAATATTAATAAATACCTTCATAAGAGTAATTATGGAGATGAAGTTAAAATTTTGTCCATAATATTCAAGAATTTAAATGGGATACTGTTCATATTAATCTTGTTATTTGGAAAATTATCTTTGAAGTGGAAAAATAAATAATCCAATTGAGTATTCATGTCTGGTAGAACTTTGTATGTAGTTATTTTGAGGGGCTGACAATGCTCTTACCTAGTATTTTAAGGAATTGTGTGGGTCTCTGAGACCTTTTCACAGGGTATGCAAAAAGAAAAACATTTTCTTTACAATGCTTAGACATTATTTGCCTACCACTCTCCTCCTCCTC